CTTTGGGATGCAGCAAAGGCAGTCCTAAGAGGAAAGTATATAGCAATACAAGCCTTTCTCAAGAAACAAGAAAGGTCTCAAATACACAACCTAACCCTACACCTAAAGGAGCTGGAGAAAGAACAGCAAATAAAGCCTAAACCCAGCAGAGAAGACAGATAATAAAGATCAGAGCAGAAATCAATGAACTAGAAACCAAAAGAACAGTAGAACAGATCAACGAAACTAGGAGCTGGTTCTTTGAAAGAATTAACAAGATTGATAAACCCCTGGCCAGACTTATCAAAAAGAAAAGAGAAATGACCCAAATAAACAAAATCATGAATGAAAGAGGAGAGATCACAACCAACACCAAAGAAATAAAAACAATTATAAGAAAATATTATGAGTAACTCTATGCCAGCAAATTAGATAACCTGGAAGAAATGGATGTATTCCTAGAGATGTATCAACTACCAAAACTGAACCAGGAAGAAATAGAAAACCTGAACAGACCTATCACCACTAAGGAAATTGAAGCAGTCATCGAAAATCTCCCAACAAACAAAAGCCCAGGGCCAGATGGCTTCCCAGGGGAATTCTACCAAACATTTCAAGAAGAATTAATACCTATTCTCCTGAAACTGTTCCAAAAAATAGAAATGGAAGGAAAACTTCCAAACTCGTTTTATGAGGCCACCATTACCTTGATCCCCAAACCTGACAACCCATCAAAAAGGAGAATTACAGACCAATATCCTTGATGAACATGGATGCAAAAATTCTCACTAAAATACTAGCCAATAGGATCCAACAGTACATTAAAAGGATTATTCACCATGACCAAGTGGGATTTATCTCTGGGCTGAAGTTTGGTTCAACTTCTGCACATCAATCAATGTGATACAATACATTAAAGAAAGAACAAGAACTACATGATCCTCTCAATAGATGCAGAAAAAGCATTTGACAAAATACAGCATCCTTTCTTGATCAAAACTCTTCAGACTATAGGGATAGAGGGTACATACCTCAATATCATAAAAGCCATCTATGAAAAACCCACAGCGAATATCGTTCTCAATGGGGAAAAACTGAGAGCTTTCCCCCTAAGGTCAGGAACATGGCAGGGATGTCCACTATCACCACTGCTATTCAACATAGTATTAGAAGTCCTAGCCACAGCAATCAGACAACAAAAAGAAATCAAAGGCATCCAAATCGGCAAAGAAGAAGTCAAACTCTCACTCTCTGCGATGATATGATATTTTATGTGGAAAACCCAAAGGACTCCACTCCAAAACTGCTAGAACTCATACAGGAATTCAGTAAAGTGACAGGATATAAAATCAATGCACAGAAATCAGTGGCATTCCTATACACCAACAACAAGACAGAAGAGAGGCAAATCAAGGAGTTGATCCCATTTACAATTGCACCCAAAACCATAAGATACCTAGGAATAAATCTAACCCAAGAGGCAAAGAAACTGTACTGTTCTCAGAAAACTATAAAATACTCATGAAAGAAATTGAAGAAGACACAAAGAAATGGAAAAACGTTCCATGCTCATGGATTGGAAGCACAAACATTGTGAAGATGTCAGTGCTACCTAGAGCAATCTACACATTCAGTGCAATCCCCAGCAAAATACCATCCACTTTTTTCAAAGAAATGGAACAAATCATCCTAAAATTTGTATGGAACCAGAAAAGACCCCAAATAACCAGAGGAATGTTGAAAGAGAAAAGCAAAGCTGGTGGCATCACAAATCCGGACTTCCAGCTCTATTACAAAGCTGTCATCATCAAGACAGTGTGGTACTGGCACAAAAACAGACACATCGATCAATGGAACAGAATAGAGAGCCCAGAAATGGACCCTCAACTCTATGGTCAACTCATCTTCGACAAAGCAGGAAAGAATATCCAATGGAAAAAAGACAGTCTCTTCAACAAATGGTGTTGGGAAAATTGGACAGCCACATGCAGAAGAATGAAACTGGACCATTTCCTTACACCACACACAAAAATAGACTCCAAATGGTTGAAAGACCTAAACGTGAGACAGGAGTCCATCAAAATCCTAAAGGAGAACACAGGTAGCAACCTCTTCGACCTCAGCCGCAGCAACTTCTTCCTAGAAACATCGCCAAAGGCACGGGAAGCCAGGGCAAAAATGAACTCTTGGGATTTCATCAAGATAAAAAGCTTTTGCACAGCAAAAGAAACAGTCCACAAAACCAAAAGACAACCGACAGAATGGGAGAAAATATTTGCAAATGACATATCAGATAAAGGGCTAGTATCCAAAATCTATAAAGAACTTCTTAAACTCGAATACCCAAAGAACAAGTGATCCGATTAAGAAATGGGCAGAAGAATGAACAGACGTTTTTCCAAAGAAGACATCCAAATGGCCAACAGACACATGAAAAAGTGCTCAGCATCGCTTGGCATCAGGGAAATCCAAATCAAAACCTCAATGAGATATCACCTCACACCAGTCAGAATCCTAAAATTAACAAGTCAGGAAACAAAAGATGTTGGCGGGGATGTGGAGAAAGGGGAACCCTCCTACACTGTTGGTGGGAATGCAAGCTGGTGTAGCCACTCTGGAAAACAGTATGGAAATTCCTCAGGAAGTTATAAATAGAGCTACCCTACAACTCAGCAATTGCATCACTTGGTATTTACCCCAAAGATACAGATGTAGTGAAAAGATGGGGCATGTGCACCCCAATGTTCATAGCAGCAATGTCCACAATAGTCAAACTATGGAGAGAGCCTAGATGTCCATCGACAGATGAATGGATAAAGATGTGGAATATATATACAATGGAATATTATGCAGCTATCAAAAGGAATGAAATCTTGCCATTTGCAACGATGTGGATGGAACTGGAGGGTGTTATGCTGAGCGAAATAAGTCAATCAGAGAAAGACATGTATCATACGACCTCATTGATATGAGGAATTCTTAATCTCAGGAAAAAAACAGGGTTGCTGGAGTGGTGGGGGTGGGATGGATGGGGTGGCTGGATGAAAGACATTGGGGAGGGTATGTGCTATGATGAGCGCTCTGAATTGTGCAAGACTGTTCTGCACCTCTGAAACAAATAATACAATATATATTAAAACAAGGAAAAAAAAGAAGAAGACAGCAGGAGGGGAAGAATGAAGGGGGGAAATTTGAGGGGGAAACGAACCATGAGAGATGATGGACTCTGAAAAACAAACTGAGGGTTCTAGATGGGAGGGGGTGGGAGGATGCATTAGCCTGGTGATGAGTATTAAGGAGGGCATGTTCTTCATGGAGCACTGGGTGTTAAATGCAAACAATGAATCATGGAACACTACATGAAAAACTAATGATGTATGGTGATTAACATAAGATAATAATAAAATAATAAAAAAAGAAAGTATAAACAAAACTGCTAAATGCATCACACGGCATAGAGTATATATTCTGTAAGTGCTACTTACCACTCTCTTCACAATGATGAATGTCTTCATGGAAATAGTTATTCAAAGTCCCAGCCCACTTGGTTTTCAGCAAATAGTACATACTTAAATCCATAGGTGAAAATACTAAATCAACCACAGCTTATATTTCTCTATTAAAGTACAAAAATATTTAATGTGTTGTCAATTTGGATATTCCCATTTAAAAACAAATAAATATGAATGTAAGCATCACTGAATTTTAGACAATGGAAATTAAAATTATATACTGGGAAAAATAATAACTGTTGGGAAAAAAAAGAAATTTGAAGGTAAGTTCCATTGTCTTCTAGCCAACAGTTATTACCAATGTTTTTGGGAGAAGGTCCATGATGTGTGTATGTGTGTGTGTGTATAATTTTTTAAATCTCACAAACAGTAAAATCTGTTGTTTTTTTTAAAGATTTTATTGAGAGAGATAGAGAGCACAAGCAGGGAGGAGGGGTAGAGGGAGAGGGAGAAGCAGGCTCCCCGCTGAGCAGAGCCCAATATGGGGCTTGATCCCAGGACCCTGGACCAGGACCTGAGCCGAAAGTGGATGCTTAACTGACTGAGCCACCCAGGTGCCTGTAAAATTTGTTTCTTGATGTAGTATTCCAAGAGTTCTTAAGCATGAAACCTAAAGCCCTGTCCATAAAATAAAAAATAAATTGGATTTTATTAAAATTGAGGTTTTTGCTCTGCACAAGACACTTAAGACCACGCAGCTGGTTTCAGGTGGTTTTAAATAGAGATGTGGGAGAGCAGTGGTAAAAGGAGATGGGCTTGTGTTGGAAGAGAGGATTGATTTTGGTCTTGAAAGAACCATTCTGCCTAATATTTATCATGTTGTAGAAGCAACTCAAATTGAAATCATGCGGATTTGGTTTTGAAATCCAGCCCTGGCTCAATGTTAACTCTCTAACCATGGCCAGTTTGGAACAACATGGTGTATTAATAAATAAATTCTATGTATTTTTAAACTAAGGATGATTCTGTCTTTCTTGTCTGCCTTACTGGGCTCTTTTCTGAGAATCAGATGAGACCATGTATGTGCAAATACGTTAAAGAATATAACACTAATACAAGGTGAGAGAGGGACTATTACAGTATTTCCACCTGCTCCTCTATACTGAGATGATCTGGTAACATTGTGTGAGAAAAAGATTTAAGCAATTATCACCTACTACATATTTACATAGCAAATAAAAAAGAGCCATTTTATTGTTATAATTTTGTTAAGAGCAGACTCTTGAAGACTGAAAACTCAAGAGCCAAAGAAGGGGTGAGTTTTGGACACCATCACGGGTGGTAGAACGGGGTAAGGTTTCTATTGGGATGGAAATGGGGGGTCAGAGAAGGTCCCACAGTATTGTTTAAGCTACCCTGCATTCCTTTTTGTGATCTCTGCCCTGGGGGACCCCTCCATTTTGACGAATGTGGAGTGATTTAAAATACATCCACTTTAGTATGTGGAGGAAGCAGGCTCAGGCTGATCCTGCAGCTGGCTGATGGGAAAAGAAGTCCATCACCAGTCTGTATTCTTGACCATGCAGGATTTATTGAGAAAGCAAAGAATGTTGAGAGATGGGGTAAGGGAAGACAGAAGACAGAGAAGCATGGGTCACGGGTCATGGATAGGAGAGGAAGGGTGAGGTATTTGAACATCCTGTCTGACACTCAGGCAGAGACAGACGTGATTACTTATTGACTGGGGAAGAAACAAAATATAAATTAAGCCCTTTAGGGTGATGGAGAATTTTTACTGCCTGAGTCAGGGCAGGAAGCAAAGGCACAGACTTCTAGATCTTGTTGCAAAAAGATTGGTTCCGACAGCATATAATTTGCATCCTGGTTCCATGGGAGAATAGGTTCATAGATGGGCACATGTTCTCACACCCCTGAACCATGAATTGGAGTTTTCCACCTGAAAGAAGCAGAGACAGACTGTAGTGAGCAGAAGGCTTCCTCCTCTGACCTTCATCTTCATCCATGGTCCCCAGTGTCCCCATGCAGGCACAACCAAGACCTCCAGTTTTTGGATTCTTCCTCCCCCTCTCCTTCCATCTGTCTTTTCTGGGCCCTTCCCCACATCTGTTGCCCACTGCCTCTATTGAGGGACTAGACAAATCACAAGGGAAATCAGGCAGTATGGTTCACGGGATGGCAGTAACCAAGATCCTTTATTTTGGGGATGAGGAGTGAGTATAAGGGTAGAAAGTATGGGAATATAGCAAGACACATCTGGCAACCTGTGAACACTGACTGATAGACAATTGTTTATTCATTTATTGAGTATTTACTAAATTCCTACCATGTACTAAACATTGTACTAAGTTCTAGGAATATATAACCATGAACAAGACAGATACAGTCCTGAGCTTATGGTTAATGTCTCAACATCTCAAGGTGTAACTCATATATTTCTTTTGTAGGAAGAGAGCCAGTCTCCCTGTCTCCTTTTAAGACATCATAGGCCTGCTGGGAAGGACCTCCGCCTCCCCATCAGTAGCTAGAATTCTGCTCTTAATTTAGGATAAGTTTCTCCTGAATCTCCAAGTTTCTAGGGAATCACAGCTTGACCCCTCCTCAGGCTCCCACCACCCCAGCTGCTCCCAAGAGTACTCAAGTTAATTGATGTGTTTCCCTGGCAAAGACTGTATTATGAAGTCCCCACATACCTTCAAAGATCTTCTTTAACATGCACTGCTGAGAATTCTGAGTGGAGCAGACTCCCTCTCCACGAAGACATTTTCCATGATCATTCATATATGAGCATGTGTGGCAATTTAATATTGGGCCTGCAAATTTAAGACAAACCTGATGAAATTTCCTGATGGACCAGGCAGGGAGCCACAAAACACAAGGAGAGGAATGATGGGCAGTAAGTAGCCTGGATACAACACATTTTATTGTTTGGTTCTTGTTGGGCATTTGAGGGCCCTGCATCTGATAGAGCATAGTCTCTCTTATGGGCCAGAGGAAATTCTTTCATTCTTACTGCTTCATCTATAATTTTCATTGCTGAAGAATCCCAAATTTCTCTCTATAATACTGATGTTTACTCCAATTCATATCCCCACTGGCTTCTGCCATGTCTAACTCCGTAGGAGCAAAGTAGAGCTTTAATCACATGACTGGCTCCCCTTTTTACTCCCCCATCATACTCTCACCCACAGGGCACACTTAGAGTAAGAACTGGCTGATTAGTAAGCTATGTTAGAATGCTCTAATGTTGCAAACTCTGCAAAGAGTGCTCGTTCTCCATTTTCAAGTTGACCTTCAACAATATCAATTTGTCACAAAGGGCATTCTTTGCGAAATGCTTCTATTTTGCCTCTTTTACTGTCTCCATTGCCAATTCCCTAGTTAAGGAAGCATAAAGAAATAGGAAGGATGTGGGCTTTGGAGTCAGACCAACTTAAGTTTGAATCCAAGGATTGTTACTTTCTAGCTATGTGATATTAGCCCCACTTCTCTCATCTGAAGATTTGGAATACTACTACTTAGGCAATGGGAGGAAATATGAAGTGCTTATGTCTGGTAATAACTTGAGTGGTCATCAAACTCTGGATCTTGTTGTCCTTCCTTGAACAACCCCTTTTTAGTAAGAGCCAAAGAATTGCAGTTGTGCTGGGAAGTTCTTTATGAATCTAACAGACAAAAGTGTGTTCATGCTTTATTCTCCATGTTCAAACAAACAAAACAGAGCCACCAGCTCGAGGGCTAGTCATCTCCTTACAGAGTTTGCGAGGCATTCTAACATAGTTTGTTGAGGCAGATTTAGCATGAAGCTCATGAAGGTTAGTGTCCCATGAGCCCCTTCCAAGGGAGCAGTGGGCATTTGTATTTATAATTTCTTACATAGAGTGAAGTTGGAGGCATTGCTGGCATTTTGTATTTGTGTTATTTTTTTAAAGGGCCCTCAAAATTGTTTAGCCTTCAGGGTTACACAAAACCTATATCCTGCCTCCTGGTATTACTGTAAAGAGATGTAGAGTGTCTTTGAGAGAGCTGTGAAGTGTTTGTGAACTAATCTTTCTTCTATACGCTCTCCTTAAAAGTTGGGTTTCTTGATGTGTTGCCTATTTCTCCCCTGAAGTCAAGGACTAGCACCCATCCAGATGCAATTCCCCTGAAAATGTGCCTCACCTGAAAATGTGCTTGATGGTGGAATGCCTGAAGACTGTTCACCCAGTGGCTTTTCACCTGAAGCCTGTTCACCTGAAGCTTGTTCACCTGAACCCTGTTCACCGGAAGGCTTCTCACTGGAAGCTTGTTCACCCGAAGGCTTTTCAGCTGAAGCCTGTTCACCTGAAGGTTTTTCACTGGAAGACTGTTCACCAGAAATATTTTCACCAGAAGCCTGTTCGCCGGAAAGCTGTTCACCTGAAGGCTTTTCACCAGAAGGCTGTTCACCTGAAGGCTTTTCACCAGAAGGCTGTTCACCTGAAGGTTGTTCACCAGAAGTGTGCTCACTGGCAATATGTTCACCTGAAGTATGTTCACCCGTAGCATGCTCACCTGAAGCACGTTCACCTGAAGCGTGTTCACTTGAAGCATGTTCAGCTGAAGTGTGCTCACCTGAAGTATGCTCACTTAAAGTGCTCTCGCCTGCAGAAGTCTCATATAAAGTCTCACCATCTGAAGGGTTTCCAAGTGAAAAGTACTCACCTGAAAATTGCTGAACTGAAGCTTGATGACTCATAGAGCCAGGAGGCTCATCAGGCTGACCTGATGCTCCTGGGATGGAGAGGAACAGAAGAGAGATAGGAAGGTGAGAGAAAGAATGTCTGGGGTAAAGACTGCTTTTCTTATGCAATAAGGCTAACGTGGGATTCCTGGGTTTCCTGTGGGCCTGGTCAGGCATCTGAAGATATTGCAGATGTTGGAGGAAGTCAACTAATTACCCAAGAGACCATGAAGGACAGAGGTGTTAATGAAATACACGGAGACTGCCTCTGGCATTTAAAGGAAGAATTTTAAGATCCACATTATTAAGAAATGTACAGGAGGGCCCACTAGCCCATGTACCAAAAGCACCTAAAGGGAAAATGGTGTGCCTCCCTGACAAAGCCAGCATCAGGAAATCAATATGCCATCAATCACAAGATCAGAAGTCTACCACAAGCCCTCCCTCCAGTTCCTCTCTGGGTGAAAGGCAGGAAGGATGAAAATACAAAAGGGAAAGAGAAAACAACTCAGTTCAATAGCTAAGTAATTCTTGCTGAAATTGAAGGTAGATTTTACCCTTTGGACAGGATAAATTTTAAACCAGAGATGACAAAATATCTAATGAACCCACAAAAATGATCAGACGGGATTTAAGACATTTTTATTTGGCGAATTCAAGTTCTTTCTTACACTCAGTCCCCAATCCATGTGGGTTGGAGACTCAAAGCTGGGATCACTTATTAAGATAAAAACATTCTTTGCTTATTTATTTCTGAATTGAGATTCCTTGTGATGTACCATTATACCTACTTCAGGTAGTTGCATGAGGTTTCAGTAAGATAAATTGTGACGTGCCTAGTTTATTGCCTAAGTGTTCAATTAATTTTATTTTTCTCTCCTCCCCACTTTACACTGGGACTTAAAAAAACTCTTAGCCGGTCATTCTCTTCTGGCCAGTCCCTCCTACCTTTAATCCATCTCACCAATGACTACCAGACAAATATTCTTTAGGTGGTACTTTTCATTTTATTGAAGTAGCACCAAAAATTTTGGTTATTACTCTGTGATTAGACTGAGTAAACCAGAGGGGGGTGGGTAGACTACAAACATGAGTTATTAATCCTAGCCAAAAGCTGAGAGGAATGACAAGATCTGTTGAGGACAAGGTAGCCTAGGGCTCCAAATTACCCTTATCTCTGTAAGAGTCCTGCAATAGATACGCATATTCTGGGTGATTTGCCATCCTTATAATCAATGACTTTCTGAAAGACTATGCTTAGAATATGTTGATAAAGGAAAGGTAAGGTTTGGAAAGGAAAGGCTATGGGGAGGTTTTTATTTTTAAAAGTTGTTACTGAATATTATTTGCTTGATTGATTCTTTAATAGTTAACAGAAGTTATAATAAAGAGATTTCTGATGTAGAAAGGAGGTTTGAAAAAGCATACTCATTTCGTAGTCATTCTTAGAGTTGACAACTCACTGCTTCGCCATGTGGCTGGCATATACTACCATTTGGTAGCTATGTATCTAAATTTCTGAGTCAACTTTTGAAAGTCTAAGAAAGCAAAAAATAAAATCTCGGACAACCAACATTATGGAAAATACTTTGTCATTTAACCGACAGTTCAGAGCTCATGGCTTCTCTCTTCTCCTCTAGGAGGAATGAGGGAACACAGCCCACCATGAATGAGGACCCTGAAAGAAGAAATACAGAAAACTGGATGGGTAGAACCTGGCCATGAAGGCTAGGCTCATAAGGTCTCTTGCCCATAGCACTGCTGTGTTCTGAGATGGCTTTCTGGGTACATCACATTCCTATCTCCTTCTATCTTTCCTTGCTACATTAACTACATAAGGATCCCTTGCACTCAGTTCATTGGGACAGACCTTCATTGGACTTCCACAGAACCCTTAGACTTGTTTTCTCATCTCACAGAGCATCAGGCGCAAATGGTGAGTGGCTGAAAAAGTAGTAGGAATGAGACAATGCCAAGCCAGCAGGCTTCTCTGATGGTAAAGCCATTACAAGGAGAAATCAACTGGCTCAGGAGTTCTCAGAGTTGAACTGGTTTAGCTATTCCTGATTCTGAGTTAGATTGGTTTGGGTAACTAATATTCTGGTCCTCCTTCTTAAGGGCTAAAAGACCTGAAAGAAATCTCCCAGAGCTAAGATAGGGGACTCACCTCTGGCACATCCAATCAGATAAAGACTCATTAGTAAGGGAAACTTCATCTGGATTTTGGGAAAGAGGAGACTCTGGTGTAGGACACCCAAGAGCTGTGAGGGAAAACTGTGAGCAGAAGCTCCCAATGCTAAGCTACAGCTCCTGGGAATTCTAGAACCTCAGAGACCACCCATGTGCCTCACAATGGGTTGAGCTCTGAGATTCTCATACAGGCTGTTTCGGCAGGATGGCTCTCTAACAACTCAGGGCAAACGGTGCAGGTGAAGGCTAAATTTGCCATGTATAACATGGTGTATTGGGGCTCTTTGCCCTATCTATAAAAAAAAAATCCTATTACCAAAATAATATATTCTCTTTGTAATAAATTTTAAAAGCTATTTATTCTCTTTTTGAAATGTTCTTGACAATGAGGTATGATTGGTTGATTATTTTGTGTTTGGCTCTTTGGTTTTTTGTTTTTGTTTTTTGATTTTTTTTGGCCCTGTAGGCTAATCTCTATTGACTTGATCGCCTGAATGCTGGTTGTGTTTGGCTTCAGACTGGATTTAGCCAGTGGAAGACTAGAGGGGGACACACACACACACACACACACACACACACACACACACACACACACAGATTGAGATTGAAATATTTATTCTCTATTTATTGTACTTCCTTTCCTGCCATGGTTTTAACACTGGTTGGGTCTTGACATGACAAAGCTTCGGTGCCCTATCTTCTATGGCTGCTGTTCTCAACCAGGCTATGCTAACATGTTGGTTTTAGCAGGAAACAAATGACAAATGCATGATATGGGCCCAAAAAGGGATCAACAAGGGGTTGTTGAAAGCTGTGCCTTGAGCTGTAATTTCTCTCAAGGGGTAGAATATGGATGCAGTGAGGCATCCACCTGGTAGAAAGCTAGAACTCCTGGGGGTTGCGTGGCAGAGATACTCTGGCCCTTACCTCCTACTTCTTCCCTGCCCACCTCCCTTGGACCACTTTGTTTCATGTAATACTGAAAGCTGGATCCAGAATAGATGCATTTATCACTCTTTTAATTATTTGTTTAATATTTATCTCCTCCATTAGACCCTAAGCTCCTTGAAAGCAGGATCCCTGTCTGTCTTTATCACTGTAGTATCCCCACTACCTAGTGGCAGTTTTGCTTTGCCACATAATACATACTTAATAAATGCTTTCTGAATGAAGGAATGGATGAATTGCCTTTTCTGGGCCTCTCTCTGCCTCACAGAGGAAAATTTATAGATAGCTCTTAGAGTGGGCTGGCTTTATAAAGATTGTGGGTCAGCTGGAGAAGGCGGGATCTCCAGGGGTCAAAAAAAAGTTGCGGAGGGAGGCCTACCCTACTTGGCATGTGTTGAAGGACAAAACTAGGATTTGTGGGTCTGAGGCTGGGCTTCCGTGGAGTGGATAAACGCACGAAGGAGCATGTTGTTGATCATTTTTTCTCCATGTGGAGAGAGTGCGGAGAAACAGCTGGGGGATCATACTGAGTTAGACTTTTGTTGATAGAAGCAGTGGAAATTTATGGAAAGGGAGAGGCACTATGTATACCACCCACCAGTTTAAGTTTGGTGGCACCCTTTTTTTGCAACTTTCTGGAATATCGCAGCCTCACCCCTCCCTAGAAGTCACAGTATTGAAAGGCAGGACCTAAAGCCTGAATGATCACTCCTTAAACCTCAGCCTCCGACTTTTCCTCCCTCTTTTCCTTAAGGTTGGTGTTACGGGACTGTATCCCAATCCCACCCAGCCTGGCTTTCCTTAGGCTCTACTTTGGAAATTTTCTCCCTGTTTCCAGTGGTCTGGCACTTCGGAGTCAAACCTGCACTGAGTATCTGAGCACACTGTATAAAAAAACATGGAGTGATGGAGAATTTGCCGTGGGACCAGAAGTGTTCCGGAGCTAAGATGTCCAGAGGTGCTCCAGTCCCTGTGTCCTTCTCTGGCCCATCTCTGCTATCCTAGATGAGGGGAAGCTCCAGTTTCTGACAGCCCAAAGCGAAGCAAAGACCCTGCTAGGTCAGCACTGGTAATGTTTGCAGCTGAGCCAAACAGCCTTCTCCCAAGGGCTTGTAGAGGGAACACAAAGAGAGAGGCAGCTAGGCTCCCTAGGAATAGTCATATGTATGGAGAGCTGAGAACCTTTCACTGGACCAGCTTCTTTGCTTAATCCATGATGTACTGGGAACTGACTTGAACTGGCAGAAGACAGCTGATTGGTAAAGTTTCAGGAATTCCACAATCTGGTTGTTGAACACAGATATTATTAAAATTAACATAATTAACATAATATAAACTGACAGATTATATTAAAAACAAAGGTAAGAAATACTCAAAACCTCATCACTTCTAAATAATTTTATGACATTTTACTTTTTTTTTTTAAAGATTTTTTATTTATTTATTTGAGAGAGAGAATGAGAGAGAGAGAGTACGAGAGGGAAGAGGGTCAGAGGGAGAAGCAGACTCCCTGCTGAGCAGGGAGCCCGATGCGGGACTCGATCCTGGGACTCCAGGATCATGACCTGAGCCGAAGGCAGTCGCTTAACCAACTGAGCCACCCAGGCGCCCGACATTTTACTATTTACTATCTGTGCTCATAAAGTTATTTAGTACTGCTGTATCTGTGTGTGAGAAATACTCTATAATGGTGGGCACATCTCTTCAACTCCCTATTCAGTGATGTCAGGATGGTAGCTGCAAATTGCCATTTGCACCGTGGAAATCTGCAAATCCTACAAATCAGGACTCTTCCCATCCAGCCTCACCCCACAAGCCAGTTGTTAAACGTTTACCAGCACACCAGGGGGCTAAACCCATGTACTTGTAACCTGGGGAAGATGGCCAGCTTGTCAGGACACTGAGACCTTGCACGCTTCTTCAGCATAGGAACTCCTATCTGACCAGACAACTGATCAAACTAGCAGCCAGGAATTCTGCTGGGTTGAACCCAGATAAAGAATGATAGTTTGCACTAATGGTTGTGTCCAATCTCTGCACTCTTTTGTCCCCAAAGGTTATTTATTTATTTATTTATTTTTAAGATTTTTCTCCTTTTTTGAGAGAGAGAGCGAGAGAGCACAAGTGGCGGGGAGGGGGAGAGGGGGAGAGGGAAAGGGAGAAGCAGACTTGGGGAGCCCGACATGGGGCTCCATCCCAGGACACTGAGATCATGACCTGAGCCAAAGTCAGATGCCCGACTGACGGAGCCACCCAGGTGCCCCACCCCCACCCCCACTAGTTATTGATAAAGGTTATTAGTAACCCTTATACAAGGGCCTGTTCTCTCCTGAAGCCTGGGAGTTCTGCTACCTTTGTGCCAAGTGTAGTGTCTTGCTCTGGAATGTTTCCAGAGGTTGGAACTCTGATGCCCAGGACTCTGCCTTCACTGTATGCACCCACAGCCATTCCTCCTCTCACTCCTTGGGACTCTGCCAGGGAACCAGACTACCTTCGTATAATTGAGGGCAGGGAGGGATATTAGCCAATGGCATACAGACTAAATATCTCCTTAGGTTACCACAGTGTGTACCCATTCTTATATTTATGTCACAGAACAGGGAAGAGCATCGCAGAGTCATTTTATGGGCAACACCGGGCTGGCTGGGAGGATCCCAAGTTACTTGGTTCTCTGCATTCAGGAAAGAGGGAAGACATAAGGTGAGATTTCAGAGGCATCGGGTGGGGGGGTGGGTCACATGGTGTTATGGGGGATAGGATCTGGGGGACACTGTCTACTGAGACCAGTGCTGAATGACAAGCTCATTTCTTCCTCTACCCCTTCATCCTTAACCACTCATTGAAAGCATCTGAGCAAGGTTTCTTTTTTTTTAATTTATTATGTTATGTTAATCACCATACATTACATCATTAGTTTTTGATGTAGTGTTCCATGATTGTTTGCGTATAACACCCAGTGCTCCATGCAGTACGTGCCCTCCTTAATACCCATCACCAGGCTAACCCATCCCCCCCCGCTCCTCCCTTCTAGAACCCTCAGTTTTTTTCTGAGTCCATAGTCTCTCATGGTTCGTCTCCCCCTCCAATTTCCCCCCTTCATTTTTCCCTTCCTACTATCTTCTTCTTCTTCTTTTTTTTTTTAACATATAATGTGTTATTTGTTTCAGAGGTACAGGTCTGTGATTCATCAGTCTTACACAATTTGAGCAAGGTTTCTTAATCTTTAAAAAAAAAGCACATCATTTTTGGATAAACATCTAAATTCTTACTTCACCCTAAGGAGGCCTCCTTTAAACTTCCTTGACAATGATGGAAAGGGGGTTAACTGCTTTTTGATCCCTCCATGTGCTGTGATGATTTTATCAAGCTTTATGTAATTTGTACCAAGAAAGCAATTAAGTTTTTTCCCATCCCCCCACCCCCCTCTCCTCCAGAACCCTCAGTTTGTTTCTGAGTCCATAGTCTCATGGTTCGTCTCCCCCTCCAATTCCCCCCGCCTTCATTTTTCCCTTCCTACTATCTCTGTAATCATCAAGACAGTGATGGCACAAAACAGACACATAGATCATTGGAACAGAACAGAGAGCCCAGAAATGGACCCTCAACTCTACGGTCACCTAATCTTTGACAAAGCAGGAAAGAATGTCCAATGGAAAAAAGACAGTCTCTTCAACAAATGGTGTTGGGAAAACTGGACAGCCACATGCAGAAGAATGAAAGCAATTAAGTTTTACTCACTTTTTTTCAAGTGTATTATGTTAACTATATTAATATATTTGTGAAAATGATGCTTGGTCTCCCATCCTAAGTTTCTGTTATTATCTGTCCCCCCGCCCCAGTTCAGGCACAATGCACAATGTTGAGTCCCTGAGCACCCCACAGGCTGACTGGGGACTCATCCATTTTTTCCACTACAGGAAGGACTGGGGAAGGGTAGCCAGGGGCACTACCTGGCCTTAGGGATCTTGGAAAACTGGAAAGAGGGTCAGGGATTAGCTTCAAGGAGTAGAAAGGAAAGAATCCCCTGGGGCTGGCCTAAACAGCAGGGCCCCCATCCTGCTCCAGAGCATGCTAGGATTAAGACTAAATGGGAGTCCCAGAAGAACCATTTAATAAAAACCTTATGAGTAGATTACAGAAAATTATTTTTGCTGAGACATATCCATTTTTGTGCATGATGTGGAACAGGGGCTGGGGGCCTTCTGCGTCTGAAGGAGCCATCTCTGGCAGTAGGAATTCTGTCTTAGGGTCCTCGGATATTAATGGGGCAGCTCTTGGTGATGTGTTTTTGGAGTAGTGATGTGGGGTCCAGAGCCGATGGCCAAGAAAGAATTCTTGAGATGTGTTTGGTGTAAAAAGATGGTTTTATTAAAGCTTGGAGATAGGACCCGTGGGCAGAAAGAGCAGCTGTTACCCTCTGCTCCCCACTGCCCCAGGATTGTGAGGGGCAACTGATTCTATACTTTGGGGTGGGGGGGAGTAAAGCTAAGGGAAGTTCCAAAAGGATTTTCATATGCTAAAGAAGACACACGATACAGGAGGCCTTGCTATGGTCAAATTAAGGTTGTTTTTCCCTCTAGCAAGACATTAACATTAGGACAGTTGGGAGCTGCCTGGAGGAACATTATATCCGGCCTGCCTCAAGTATTTGTCAATGGGCTGCAGGTTATATGGACATTTAATTTTATCACCATTTCCTTCTGCCTTGGTTTCCCACATCATACCCCGCTGAACAATTTTGACTCTTAAATCTTTAAGGTTGCTGAGGATGGAAGGGCTTATCTTCTGTAACTTCTTCTTGCTGAATAGGCGTGTAGAGATGTCCCTACCTGTGGGTCAACATTGGTCAGTTGGGGAATTTATATTCAGGAGTTACCGAAGGCAGAGGCAGTCAATCCAAGGTAGACAACATAGGGATATTAGCACAGGGCATACAGACTAAATACCTCATTAGGTTACCACAGTACACACCCATTCTTGAGTGGAAAGGACCATGTGTCAGCTGGAAGTTATGGCAGTGAAGGGGTCTTAGCACCATGCAGGGGGAGATGGGAAGAGACAACAAAATAAGGTTAATATTATGAGAAAGAGAAGCCCAAATAAAGAGACCTTTGGTAGTTAACCAAAATTTTCTTCCAGTCCTTTATTGTCCTTTGAAGAGAAATTTGAGGTCTTCCACTGGTTCACAGGAATAAGAAGGCATGTTACTTTGCTCATTGGTCTCCTGTGTGGGAGTTACAGCTTTTATTCTAGATATATGAGCCCATGAAGAGTGTCCCTCTAATTTTACTGCAGTGGGAGAACATAATATGACCCTGTAGGGGCCCTTCCATTTTGGAGTTAAATCCTCTACTGTGTTAGACTTCCAATCCTTTAAATAAACCATGTCTCCAGGGTTTATCTGGGATGGGTTGCTAGTAACTATCAGATCAGGTTTAAGGAGGATATGGTTTGCATATTCATTTAAAGATTTATGAATTAACCCAGCCTCAAGTGAGTAATTAACAGAGCATTACAGTCTCCATCTATTGATAGGTCTACAATGAGAAAAGGTTTTTCATATAGTAACTCAAAAGGACTTAACCTTATTGGTTGTTTTGGGGCAATCCTCATTCCAGTTTTCTTGAGTCTCAATGCTTAAAATCTAGTATCTACAAAGATGTTTTATTGAAATATTTTCTTTCTATAATAACCCTCATTTTTAATCAGAGATAGCCAAATCAGGACTAATTTATTTATAAAACAAGTCCAATTTTAACAAACTTGGCCTAATTTTATTTACATAAGCTCAGCAAGAATAGTGCTTGATCATATAGATCTTTCAGAATAGAGAATGTCCATTATCAAGAAAACCAGCCCCCCCACCTCCACTACTGGGTGGTGTCCCACGTGCAGGATATGTCAGATGTTCCTGCTGTCATAGCGACCTGAGGTATCCCTCGAATGAAATCGCTATGATCACTGCCTGCCGTAAATGCCCTGTAGGAGAGAGGCTGGCCCTCCCCTCACTTCCCCATCGCATTCTAGACTACGATGGGTGCCAGGGTATGGACCAAGTTTGCCATGCTGTGAAGGCCACGTGCGCCTTGGCTTGCCCTGCTGAGGGCCCCGCTGTGAAGGCCATGTGCACCTTGGGTTGCCTTGTTGTGAAGGCCACTTAGAATCCACCGTTTTCAACCCATGGAATACACTAGAGAAGTCTTACAAGAGGAAAGTACCCAATTTTGTAACTTAAGTAGTTAGTAGAGGACGTTGATGGGAAGATAGAAATCCATCATGATCTAAGCAACATTTCAACCCATGTAGTCCTCATAGCCAACGTCCCTAGGAAATTGGTCCCCCATTGGGTTTTAATTCAGTCGGGTACTGTTTTCAGCTGGCTCCAAACTGAGATCTCCAGCCAGAAGCAGCTAGACCAGGGATGTGAAGGGGATCACATTAGACCAATGAGGAAGAAACCTCACACGGGAATCTTAGGATTGGCAGCTGTCCTGGTGACTTAGGTGGCTGTCCCGTGCCCAAGACAGACGACTTTGCATAAGGACAGGAATAAAGAGAGGGCATCAAGTTTCTGGGTCTTATTACCATCCCGGCCAGGGTACTGACTTCCAGCCAAAAGGCAATCTTCTTCTCCCCATAGAGTAGCCACAAGCTAGAGGATTACAGTCTAAGCAATGGGCATGAAAATGTTCCAATAAGACCGTACTCCTTGAAGGGTTCCTGAAATGAGAGTAAAGGACAAGAAGAGAAAGTACTCCCCAAGTTTGCACCAAAGCTCAGAGTTCAGATGAAAAGACTCAAAGGCCCCATGTTGGGGTCAAAATGATGTGGTTTTGGAGTAGTGTTGTTGGGGTCCAGAACTGATGGCCAAGAAGGAATTCTTTGGTGCAAAAAGGTGGTTTTATTAAAGCATGGGGACAGGACCAGAGCTGCTGCCCCGGGGTTGTGAGCGGTGGCTGATTATATACTTGGGGGTTGGGAGTAAGGAAAAAGGGAGATTTTCAAAAGGATTTTCCTATGCTAAAGAGCAAGATACCAGAGGATTTGCCACTGTCAATTTAAGGTTGTTTTTACCTCTAGCAAAGCATTAATATTAAGAGTGTTGGGAGGGGTGCCTGGGTGGCTCAGTTGTTAAGCATCTGCCTTTGGCCCAGGTCATGATCCCGGGGTCCTGGGATCGAGCCCTGCATCGCCAGGAAGCCTGCTTCTCCCTCTTCCACTCCCCCTGCTTGTGTTCCCTCTCTCGCTGTGTCTCTCTCTGTCAAATAAATAAATAAAATCTTAAAAAAAAAAAAAAGAGTGTTGGGAGTTTCTTTCTGGAAGTTAGGTTATTGATAAGAATGTTTTTTTCTTGTAAATCACTGAGACATTTGTAACTGAGGGAGACTCCGGTCCCCCAGAAGTGTAATCTCTGTAAATTAACCATTTGTCTTTTCTTCCCTTAGCTTTAGGGCAGTGGGGAGTGCCTGAGGAATGTCACACATGTCCCACCTAGGGGGTGGGGTCTTGCGGGGTGTCAGCTTGTGCTTTGTCCTCAGCTTGCCTTCTGCCCCCTCATCAATATTGTTCAAGTATTCAGCAGTATGTCTGTCACATAGCAAGTTCTCTATCAATGTCATATGCTGTTTTGGGATGGCATAGCTGACTCAGCCTCTTCAGACTTCAGAGGTGGGCTGGGGAATAATTATACCCCTATGGGGTAAGCCCTCCATTTCAGTGGGTTTCCTGTTCTTAAGTTGGGAGAGAAGGTTAGTGCAGGAGGGGAGCAAATATGTGCATTCTTGAGGTCCGCATTTGGGTAAGGGTGGACCCAAGTTCTGGGGTGTGCCTAGGAGTGCAGAGAGCCTGAAGCCAAAGCTACAAAACTATTTTTCCCCCCAGATCAGTGTTTTGTTTTTAAAGATTTTGATTTAAGTAATCTCTATACCCAGCATGGGGCTTGAACTCACAACCCCAAGATCAAATGTTGCTCACTCTACCCACTGAGCCAGCCAGGCACCCCTCCAGATCAGTGTTTTGTTTTGGGGGATTTTTTTTTAAGATATTTATTTATTAATTTGAGAGAGAGAGAGAGAGAGAAAGCAGGAGTGGGGGAGGGGCAGAGGGAGCTGGAGAAGCAGACTCCCTGCTGAGCAGGGGGCCTGATGCAGAACTGGATCCCAGGACTCTGGGATCATGACCTGAGCTAATGGCAGACACTTAACAGACTGAGCCAGCCAGGCGCCCCCAGATCAGTGTTTTTAAATTACATTCCTCAGCATATAAACAACCCAAAATCTCTAGTCTGGAATGCAGCCTGCATGGAAGATAAACCCCTTCGGTTAACACTTGTGACAAGGGATTGAGGAGAGGGTGAGGGAGATGGCGGCTCTAAGGCAAACACAGGTGTTACTGTGGCAACAGAACCCTGCAGAGGGCGGCACCAGCTAAGGCTGGAGCCCTCTTACAGCTTACAGGCTGAGGGCTAGTTCCAGGTTCAGGTGCAGGCGGTGAGTACTGCTGTCTTGGGGTGGATAAAATTTTTGTGGCTAGCCCTTGCTAGGGCTGCTAGGGGGAACCCTTTGTTGTTAGACTGCTCTTTTGTCAAAGGAGATGTTCCCTATAGTGGGGTTTTTGTTGTTGTTTGTTTGTTTTTGCAACAGTCAAGACACGTATCCATTTCCGAGAAAGGAGATTTCAGTCTGGGCTCACAGCATACTCAGGCAAGTGGCCTAAGGATGAGAAACCACGTGGTGGTGTGCCCCGCCCCTGCAAGGCACGCAGGAAGCCTGGGCTCCCACCGGCCACTCTGCTCCTTCTGTGGTGGACGTGCAACCCTTTGCCCCTGCTCCCATCGGCGGCCCCTCCCAGCTGGGGTTGTAAAGCCCTATACTCAGGGCCTGTGTGCCGGTGGCTCTGCCCTATCTTCTTCTGCGCCCTGGTCCTTCAGGCACAATGGGACCTGGCTTCCCCCAACTGCTGCTCCTGCTGCCCCCGGTGGTGCTGTTGCTGTCCCTCCCCTTCCTGCTGGGCTTCCAGTAGAGACCCTGCTGCGCATCGGGAAGTACTTTGGGGTCTGGCTCTAGGTGAGCTGTGAATTGGCGGCCCCGGAGAGGTGAAGAGCAAGGCACAAGGGCCTAACCTTAACCTCAAGGGGCATCACAGCCTTTGCCCCCTCACTCCACTGGGTTTCCTCCCTCTCTGCCTCCCCTCCCCTTTGCTTCCTCCACTTTTGTCCCTGCTTTTCCCTTTCTCCTTCCTCTCCCCTTCCCAATTTTACTTCACCTCCTTCCCACCTCAGTTCTAATCCCTGACACTCCCCAGTTCCTCAGGCTTTCTTGCTGAGAGGCCTAAATTTGAGCTGAAAGGGAGCAAAGAAAGTTTTGTGGGTGGTGAAGGCAATGTGGGCTGCCTTTCGGGAAGGATTGGGAAAATGGTCACGGGGCCATATGGGTGGGGCTGGAGGGGCTACAGGGTAGGACGCAACCTTCCCCGGGCAGCACAGTCCATCCCTGGGAGGAGAGGGGGATCCTGTCAGTACTCGCAGGTATGAGCCAAGCATCCAGGAATCCCCCGATTTCAGCCACCTCCTCGGGCCTGGGAACTGGCATTGTCCAGGCTGCCAGTGGCCCAGAGGGTGTGCACGCTCCTGACCTGTGGGAAGGCAGGGCCTGGCGAGCCTCATTATGTCTGTTTCACTTTCCAATCCTAGACTATTTCCAGAATGGAAGAGTCAACATCTGTAGGGCTTTCATTACCCTGGGGTTTCCCAGGCTGGGCAAAGTGCCATCCAGACTGAAGGGAGCCAACAAAGCTCTCTGAGGACAGACCATGAAGGTAGGTGGGGTCTGAGATGTCACCTGGGTGACCTTTACCTGATCGTGAGGGAGGTAGCTCTCAGGAGCCCTGGGGTCAGTAGCTGAGAGACTGGGAAGGGTTCTTTTTTTCCTTAAAAAGTTACAAAAGGGGTCGTGGCCAGAATGCATCATGGATTTCCCCGTGGGTGGTGGTTTTAACTAAATTTCACCATAGCTCTATAATCAGCTCCCTGGAATTATAATCTGGAAATTCCTTACAGGGCTTGGCATTTGGCTCTTCCCTGCATACTCCACCCTCAAGCCCTGGGAAAGCTATCCCAGATCCGGGTGCTGGCACTATTTGCAAAATTAATGCTTCCATTGTTTGAGCCAAGGGCTGAAATCAAAGTGGCAGTATTTAAATATCATCTAAGCGTACATATGATAGTGAAAAAAGGGCTGTGAAATCCTTTGGGAAAAACAAAAGTTGCACAGGAGTCCTGGATCTGGTGCTGGACTGCCACTGGCCCTTGACTGGACCAACAGAGTTATCAGGGGGAAAAGGACTTGTTGAGGGGCACCTAGGTCTTTGGGGAGTCCCCAGGCAGACTCAGGGATGGGAGGAACTGGGATGAAAATTGCAGTGGGGCTTGTTTGTGGTAGTGCTTTTGGGAACTTGAGGCCTTGGGGGCAAGGTGAGGGGTTGGGGGAAGATGGCCCACTAGGGGCCCCCTCTGTCATTGCAGGGTGGCTGATGTCCCTTCTTACCTGGCAACCTGACTGCTCAGGACCATGTGCTGTTTCTTCCCATTGGCCGAATCACTCATTCTTTCAACAAATATGTATCGTCTATCTCGAATGTGGCAAACACTTGATCTTGGAGGCCACAAATCAGAGATCCTCTTTTCTTGTCTTTCTCTCCAGATGACAGTCTCCCGTATGGATACCAGGACCGTGGGGACCTCTCCGTGCCCTTCTTGAGACCAAGGGCTCAAATTGGTTTTGAATCCCACCGTGACACTGTAAACGATTGTAGAGAGTTGGCCCTTCTTTGACCCGCTCAGTTACTCGTTTAGCCCTTTTCTGTGCCCCTGTAGCCTCAAAGGATGGGGCCCCCCTGCCCCAGCACTGTTCAAGCCCCGAAGTCTGCTCCTCCTCAGCTCTGGGTAATGACATTCGTACAGCTTCACCCACCAGATCAAGGCTTTCTGCTTCCCATGGCCCTTGCTGCTCTTTGCCTCTGATTCCTGTCCCCTCCCTTTCTCTCTCTGTACCTCCATCCCTCCCTTACCCTTTTCCATCTCCCTGTGAATTGCTTTCCTTCCCTTTGAAGTCCCAGACCCTTACCCCTTCTCCTTAGTTCAGGAAAACATAAATATATCATTTTGCCTAACTGTCCTTGGAATCTCATGTTTATGTGAATTCCCCATATGTACATCAGTAAATTTGATTTTTTTCCCGTTAATCTGTCTCCTGTCAATTTAATCCTTAGACCACCTATAAGAATCTCGAAGGGTATATAAAAATTTTTCCTCCCCCACAGTGTATTTGGGAGAATGGGCTCTGGAATGTGAAATATTTATGATTAGCAAAATGAGTGGAGAGTTCTTCAAAGAATGACAAGAGCAGCTACATGACCTATGTGTGTCACTGGCAGGAAGTGCAGGGGGCCAAGGTGGGGACAGTTGCCCCAGGACCCCCACTCTCCCAGGGCTCACAGGGTGGGGGATGACCTAGAGATTGCAAAGGACGCCGGTAGACGGCAAGCTTTTCGTCCACTTCCCACACAGACTTCCAGTATCTCCCAAAGGCCACCCAGCACTGGTCCCAGGAGCTCCCCCCAGGCCAGGGGTCTCGGCCCCGCCCAGGGGTGTCTGCCCAGCCCCTCTGCTTTCACTTGAAGAGGGTAGACAAGCAGGGGATCTGCCGGCTGGCCGGTATTGCTTTAGGAAGCTCCCCTAAAACCTCTTTTCCTTTTGTGCAACATTCACCTTAAGGACAAAAACCATTTTGTGGCAGAATTCCTAGCTGACATACCAAACTCCTTTTGTCTTCCCTCTCTCTCCTTCTCAAAAGAGCTCTCACTTTCTTCTAGGAAGTTTCCAGTCCATTTTATGGCTGCCCTCAGGGTGAGTTTTTGGCAAGCAGAAACAGAAGATGTTGGAGAACATCCTCCCCCACTTGCTGGTTTATCTTGAAACCTGAAGTCCTCGGCAGGATTTCCTAGATAGTGAAAGGAGGAGAGGAGAAGAGGGAATGCCTTGGGGGCTGTGGGAGGATGGGATCTTTTCTTTCCACCCTGATTCTGACAGAGCCCGAATGAGCGGGTGACCTCACAGGGACACGGTCTAAACAGAGAGGTGGCCCCTCATCTCCACGGATTTCAGACTTGGCAGGAACCAGGAAGGCCCCAAGCATGAAGCCAAAACAGGGAGCAAGAGCTCCAGCAAAATCAAAAATTTCTGCTCTAAGTTCAGGCAAACATTCATGATGTGAATGTTTCAAACTTCCACTGATGTGTGTCTTTTTTAGAAACTCCTCCTGATGGTAATGAGAGGAGGGGAGAAGCCCCTGAAATAGCAGAGATGGTTGTTTTAGCATCCACGGTGGTGGTAGTGGGGTGTCAGATTTTGTATGATTTTTTAAAAATTTTTTTATTGTTATGTTAATCACCAAGATTTTGTATGATTTTAAGAGAACGAGAAATGAGATATTTCTTGGACCCCAGATTATAGTACCAATAAATCCATACCTATTCCACCTATACTTTTTGCCCAAGAAAACTTTCAGAGAGCCCTCCAAATCATGTATAAGTAATTTATATTCAGTTCAGATGAGCTTGAGCCCCCTCCTGGTTTTTTAGGTCTTTGTCACAGCTCCACTGAATGTTGGACCAATGTGCCATGCTATCCATGGTCCTGTATTTTCTGCCAAACAAGGCTGTGTAATGGGTCTGTGGGAAGGATGGGGACAGGCTAGGAACTTTCTCATGACCTGTACAACTCAAATTTTATACCTAAGGAAGGAAGGAGGTGTCATAAGTGCTCATTTTCTAGCTCATCCATCTGATGCCTCAGATACTAGGCGCAGCCGGGGTTAACATCTGTCTCCTGGTCAAAGCCTGTCTGCTGGCCTTGCGCCCCTACACTCCGAGACATGCCAAGACTGGACTCACTTGTAGTGCAGGCTGCTGGGGGGCAGGTCTTCTTCCCAGACGGTCTACCAAAGGAAATGCCATGCAAACCCGCTGCTTCCAGACGCCCCTACTCTTTGGGATGTTGAGCCAACTGGAGCCCAGAGGAGGAGGGGCCAGCAAGAAAGTGCTCATAGCTCTGAGTGTTTCCTAAGGATTGAGGCACAGGTAGATAGTGATGTTGGTCGTAGTGTTCGCCTGCTTGTGGAGGCAGCAGGATGCCCAGCTTCTCCTTATCTCCTCTTCTACCATATTCCTCCCAGGTGTGGAAAGGTCCGAGGGCAGAGGTTGGGGGGATGGTCCTTGTGGTCTTGGTCTCTACGTTCCTAGTCCTGCTACTCGGCACTCATGCTGATCTGGGAGGGATCTGGGCATAAGTGTCCTATTCCTGATCCTGAGGGAGACAGAGAAGCCTGGGAAAGGCAGAGGGTGTTGTAACTTGTGGGGCACAAGATGCCCTCGCTGACCAGAGACTCTGCCTTAGAGGAGAGCCTGAACCTCTCCCACCCAGAGGGAGGGAAGGAGGGAGGGAGGGGGGTAATGCAGACAGAGAAAGATGGGGGAAGGAGGGGAGAAAAGTGAGCCCAGGGTTTAACTCACATCAGTGGCAGGTGAGGAGGACAGGCTGAGGGAAGGAAAGGGTGGCATGAATTCGGGAGATGTACCTGCTCAGGGGAGGCCTGATTCCCTGCTTCCCAGTGAGCCAGGGGAGAGACTATGCTGTCCCAACTGGGGCGGGGGGTGCTGTGCACATGCTCCCCCCACCTTCAAACCCAGAGCCTTGGCCCCCTAGCTCTCTCTTCCCACCCAGAGAAAAGCGATCTTACTGACACTCCGGAGCAGGGGTCACAAAGCAGAGAGCAGCCTTAAAGGTTCTCTTCCCGGCTGCACCTGAGCCAGAGAAGAGGTCATCAGATTTGAAGAGCCCCCCCGTGGTTGTCAAAGCTGCCGCACATACACGCCCAGCTGGACTCCTCCCCGCAGATCCTGGGCTAGGAAAGGCAGAAGCCTTTGCTCTGCCAGTGAGGACTTGCGGACTCAGCATCAAGCACCGTCCTGAGTCACACTGCTTTACAGAGGCAAAATTATGACTCAATTTAGTTAAGACTCAGACTTTATCTGTTCCTATGGCCCTGGCCTGGCCCTCTAGACCCACCAAGGACTGTGCCACGCCCTCCCTCCCGCCGCATCCCCAGCATCCAGCTAGAAATGTCCAATAGTGCCCGGAGCCTTGAAGTTCTGGGTCATGTGGGTTTTTTTTCGTGCGTGTGTGTGTGTGTGTGTGTGTGTGTGTGTGTGTATTTTAAGATTTAAATATTTCTTTGAGGTAGGGGTGGGACAGAGGGAGAGGAAGAGAGACTCCCAAGCAGAACCTCGGAGCCCAACACAGGACTTGATCCCGCGACCCTTAGATCCCGACCAGAGCCAAAACCGAGAGTCAGACCCTCAACTGACTGTGCCACCCACGTGCCCCTGGGTCACAGTTTTTAACAAGAAAGGGCATGCACTAGTTAAAGAGTTCTTCTGGGCAAAAAGCAATGTGAACCACACACATGTCCTCAGCCTCAGCTGGTACTAGTGATTTAATTATGTTGTCCCTGGGCACTGTCCCCAAACTGTACAGCAGATGGGCCTTTGGGGATATCCCCCTCCTGGGTAGGTATATCTATATCCCCTCTAGCTGTCCAGACACTGTGTTTGCTGACACTCCAGCTCAGCTCCAGGAGCCCCACCTCCACCACCACCTGGGCCCCTCTGTTCTCCCCTTTGCAGGGACTTCGGCCCCCCCCAGGCCTTCGAGATCGAGGCTCCCTGCTCCCTCGTCCCCAGGGACAGCGGTCCTCAAACTGCCCTCACCTCCAGCTGGGGCCAAGGGAAGTGTCTGGGCATGGGGCTCACATGCTTATTTCTCTGAAAAACTTTGATATGAATGCTTCTGGCCTCACTTCGTCTGTGAAGGAAAGGTCAGAGTTTTCTTCTGTGTTTCTCTTCCTGTTTGTTGAAGCTTGTGGTTTTACACAGTTCCTGAGAAAATACAACCATGTTATTTCACAGAACGCTGAAAATTATAAGAAATCAAACGATGGTAAGTTTGGAAGGTTCAGGAGGCAATCAGCTGAAAAGGGAGACACCTGTGACCTCATCGATCCCACTTTATTTATTTACTCATTTCAGCAGCAGGATGGAAACAAGCTGAGCTGTCCCTTATATTAAATCCTTGGAAGTGCCAACACGAGGTCCCCAGCACTGCCTGGGTTCCAGGGGACTCGCGGACACCTGCCCCTCACAGTCCGGGCTCCCATGTGGTGACGGTATGGGGAATGGCTTTAGAAGCAAAGGGCCATCGATTCCAAGTCTTGAGGTGAGCGACACTAAACAAACAACATATAAATAAGTAAATAGCAATGGAGAGAAAAATCTTGCAGAGGATTTCTGCCTCTCCAAGAAACAAAGAATCAAAACGGAGAGAGTGGGGACCACAGAGAAAATAGCCTTGTGGCCACCCCTGTCCTGTTTGCAGCTGCCTGACCACACCTGGGACAGCTGGAGAGCTTGTCCAGAGGCCTGTCCTGGGCCTCACTTAGGAG